AGTAGCAGGATGCTATGCTATGCTAACAATAGTAATATAGCCAGAATGACATTATTTGGACAAGTACAACCCTGATGGTATACACTTGTAGAGTTCAGGTGTGACTTTACTCACCTAAGAAGTACCTCATCATCTACATTGCTGTTTATATCCATGCAAGCATGTCATGTAATGTATGTAGTCATGTACAACCAAAAGGAAGTAGCAGGATGCTATGCTATGCTAACAATAGTAATATAGCCAGAATGACATTATTTGGACAAGTACAACCCTGATGGTATACACTTGTAGAGTTCAGGTGTGACTTTACTCACCTAAGAAGTACCTCATCATCTACATTGCTGTTTATATCCATGCAAGCATGTCATGTAATGTATGTAGTCATGTACAACCAAAAGGAGTATGCAGTGTAGACATACTGTGTATGTGTATGCACACGCTAACAATTCTTTCCCAACACTGAAAGGTATTTAATGCTGAAATACAGCATTTAAACAGGGGCCTTGCAAAAACATGAAATACATTCTTTAAATGTAAGGAAAGAATATTCAGGAGATTGCTGTGCTGTTTTAGTAGATTAATCTTTGTTGTCATGCGAGTTCTTGTATCACCTATTAGCAACCTGCCTTTTGTCTCATTTTTCAACTAGTCTTCCATTGTGCTCCTTGTATACTTATGATTGGGTTTTGAAGACAGTCCTGTCCAGAGTTTTGAAGACTCGTCGTGTTTTGAAGCTGTTAGATGTGATTAAAGTACTGTATTAAAAATAATAAAAATTCTCAACCTCTTATTGGTACAATATTGGTGGGAGTGTAAGATGAACTTTCTACCTTAAATACACTCAAGTTTTTTTCCAGGTGACCAACTTTGAAAGAGAAGATGGTTTTAGATGTGGAGTTTTACATTTTGAGTGGTTTTGTTTTTATTGCAGGCCAAATCCTGCAGGTAGTTAGAACTGCAAACGGAGCTCAGTATATCATCCAGCAACAACAGCCAGTGGTTCTACAGCAACAGGTTATACCACAGATGCAGCCTGGTGGTGTTCAAGCTCCTGTTATACAGCAGGTAAAGAGGCACATTTTGAATAAGTAGGCTCATAACTAAAACTGACCAGTAGGAAGATTTTCTAGTAGTTTTTATTAAGTATAAAGGTAAGTTCTTTTGTTTGAATTGCATGATAGATATGCCAATAATGGCTCTGAAAAATTGAAAGATCTACATAAAGAAATGGGGATTTTAAAAATTGCTTTGACGCCTTACAAATCTTTGACTTCTGTGCAGGATCTTCCTACTTGATCTGCATCCAGTGTTACCGATTTTTTTCAAAAGGTGATCCCAATATTAGAAGTAGAATTATAAAAATCTTAGGTCTCAAACACAGAAAAGTAAACAAAATAATCCATGTTCCTTGAACTAATATAAACAAGTGACAGATTTAAAATATAAGGAAAAAATAGTATTCCTTCCTTCCACCACCTCCAAAAAAGGGGGGAATAGATTTTAACAAATTTCTAAAATCCTGGAGGAGGAATAAATAGTTCTGTTAGTATTGTGTTATGTAAAGTGATTGCTAATATAAACTCCTTTTGTCAGGTTTTGGCTCCTATCCCTGGAGGGATCTCCCAGCAGACAGGAGTGATTATTCAGCCACAGCAAATCCTATTTACAGGGAACAAAACACAGGTCATACCCACAACAGTGGCAGCTCCTACACCGGCACAAGCACAGATTACTGCTGCCGGTCAGCAGCAACCACAGCAACAGGCCCAACCACAAGCACCACTTGTACTCCAAGTTGATGGAGCAGGCGACACATCTTCTGAAGAAGAAGAAGATGAGGAAGAAGATTATGATGATGATGAAGAAGAAGACAAAGAAAAAGATGGAGGTGAAGATGGCCAGGTTGAAGAGGTAAAATGTGACACACTGCTTCTAAAAAATAAGACAATATCTTGACTTGAATATTAATAATTTTGAGGCAAATATCCAAAAGGCAAACATTTTTAAATAGCGAGTTATTACTAAGCTAACATCCTTAACTGTAATTAGACCAGATTTCTAATTTAATTTGAGGTGGTTTTGGTCTGATTTTTGGCTTGTCTCTTGTGCAGGTCTACACTACTGCTTATGTCAATATATAACTTATTTCACTCAGTGGTGTGAAACTCCACACCCTGAGTGACAAAAGTTACAGCAACCTAAGGGCTGTCTACATTACATTTATTCTGGTGGGAGATGTTCTCCCACCAGCACAGCTTCTGCTTCTCACAGAGGTGGAGAATGCTGATAGGAGAACTCTTTTCGGTTAGCATAGAGTATCTTTAACAGACATGCCTCAGCAGTGAAGCTGCACCAGTGTAGCACTTTTAGTATACGCTAGGGATGTTAGGTATCGTGTAATTGAATAGCCATTTAACCACATGAAATTTTAGCAGTTACATGACTATTCGATAGTCCTCAGGGGTGGGGCTGGCAGTCAGTGTGCTTTTGGCCCCACTCGTGGGAAGCCCCTTGCCACCTCACTGCTGCCTGTCTTATCAGAGCGTGGGGTGGCAGGCGGGGGCCAGTCCACCAGAGCAGCCAGTTTAAAAACTTGATACAGCAGCAGCGTGGGGTAGCGCAGTCCTTGTCTGAGCTCCCCGCAGGCGGAGACTGGTCTGCAGCAGCAGGCCTTGTCCGTGGGGGTTCAGGATCTCTGCCAACAGAGCCTCTGTACGTGGGGCACTTGAACCCCCCACGGTCAGGGACTAGTGCCGTGGACCAGCCTTTGTCCATGGCAAGCCTGGGTCATCACAGACAGAGGCTGATTTGCGGCAGCCTGCCCTGCCTCCCCCACTTCCCACACTGCTGCCTCTGAGAGAGGCAGCAGCACAGGGGGGATAGAGCAGGTGGCACTGTGGAGTTAGTGCTAGGGAAGCTGGCTCCCCCCCAGCACCGGCTCCCGCCTTCCCCCAGGGCCAGGAAGCTGGCATGTGCAGGAAGCCTGCTTGAAAACTGGCTCCCCTCATGTATCAGCTCCAGTCTGCCCCACTCCACCCTCTGTGCTGCTGCCTCTCTATCATGTTGCTTTAGCCTCATCTTTTCACTGTTACCAACCTGTTTTATAAGGCACTACTTCTAGTTTTGTGTATCACATAGGTTACTGCACATCCACAACCTGGGAGGGTGGGGGGAGGTAGGGTATCCTCTGGTTCAAAGAAGCATGTTTTCCTTCTTGGATAGTATTATTTTCAATGCCAGCTAATCAAGAGTTAATATCATGAAAATAATACTATGCCAGCTAATCAAGAGTTAATATCATGATTGATGGGGATTTAAGTTTTCCTTGCCTCAGTGTCTTATAATTAACCCATATAACAAAAACCAGTGGTGAGGGAGTGTGTGAGAATCTTTTTTTTTTTTTTTTTTTTTTTTTTTTAAGGAAAAGGATGTTCCATGTTTTCAGTTGTGATTTATCAAATAATGCTTAAAAGTATATGCTATTAACAGATTACAGAACCTCCCTTAATTGTTGCTTTAGCATTCTCAGGATAGGTAAATGCTAAAGTCATTTTGGAAAATGGAGTTTGGCACTGTATGTACCATTTGGTGCTGCCTTGGGATAATTTATGAATACTGTATGTTGTACTTGCTTATTGGGGTGTTTACTATATGACTACATTTGGTTTAGCTGAACAGGAATCTGTCTAATGCAGCAAGGCAAGAAGAAAAAGAATGGTTCAAGAAAAGGCACCCCTCAGCAAACACTACAGTAATTAAGGGACCATATTAGAGCTGTTGCTCTTGAGGACTCTTGTATTCTCTCCTGCTGATTCGAGAGGGTTTAAAGCCCAGAAACACAGAAGAACCAGGGGCTGGTTGTCAGGGAGCAAGACTGAGACAGAGGCACCTGCTGAGGTATCTGGAGATGCTAAGCCTGCCTAGGTTACTACCAGGGAATGGGTAGCTTATGGGCAAGGTGAACATGCATATAGGCTATTCATTTTTAGAAGCTTTGTTCCAGTTGATAAAATAAACAATATTTCTGGTATAAGAAGGCTGTCTGGTTACTATATTTACCACTGCTCACTGTCTCCTAAAGGGAAAAATGCAGGTGCACGAACTCTATCGAAACAACCAGATAAGAACAGTTAGTGTGTTAGGATACAGTAGTCCAGGCCCATTTTAGGAGTGGGAGAATTACAGCCTTCCTCTCCTTGACTGAAAAAGCAGTGACCTGACAAGTGAGGTGGAGCACTTCAGAGAGACCAGAAAGGGGACAAATATCTACATACCCCTGTGATTATAACAGCACCTCTGAAAAGTTTTACCTCCAATCCGCGTTCTTCCCATACTCAACCTTGATTCATGTTATAACCAGATCTTACTTTCATGCATATGATCAAAATATCTATAATTTTAATAGATGTGAGTCAGTTTATTATAAACTATTGGAAAATGTTTCTTTTAGGAACCCCTTAACAGTGAAGATGATGTGAGTGATGAGGAAGGACAAGAGCTGTTCGATACAGAGAATGTTGTCGTATGCCAGTATGATAAGGTAAAATCTCTAAAAAAACAGAATTTTTATGAACGTCACTTTTCCTTGTTCTTCCCTCTTTCTTTTCTCCCCATGAAATCATGAATTTAATCTGTATTTCAGAGTTGTATACACTGAGCTATAAATACCATATCTTACCACTGTGCCTGAAAAAGGATCATTTCTTGGTGTTGGCGAGTTGTGATACGTCTGCATAGACTTTTAAAGAAAGTGTCATTTGGTGCCAGATATATAGTGGGTTTTGTATGATGTGGACAGTTGTCCACCAAAAACACTTCACAAGGGGTGACTAAATAGCCGTTTGAAGAGAAAAATGTTCAAATCACAGCACACAGCTTCACTTCTTCATTCAGCTAGCTATCCCATAGGTAGTTAGGTTCTTATATAGTGGCTAAATTTTTTTTTTTTTTTTTTTTTTTTTTTTTTAAGAGCCTTGAGCTGGGATATTGAGATTGGGCAAATAAAAGGAGAGAAATCAAAAGACGTAGAAGCAGAAAACCCAAACTTACTGCAGGCTACGGTTGGTGAGATGTTCTGATGGATTTCCCCCCTTTGTTGGGCTAAAGACTGGGTTATAGGATCACAGTATTGATTACATAAACATGCTCTTTTGACAATGGAAAGAACTGAAATTCACAGGGAAAAAAAAACTTTTCAAAAATCAGAAAAAATTCTTGGAGTTGTAATGTTCATTTACACCTAAACCCCTAGGCCTGCTCTAATTGTAGATTCAATATGCATGCAGATAGACTGGTTTAATTTTGTTATGTTTTCTGGTGTTTCAAAAGTATTTTAGTGTTTAATTTTGCAAGTGATATGGTTTTCTACTAGGTATGTTCCAGTTTGATTAGACTTTTCAGAGCATGGGGCATGCTTAATTTGACTAGAAGGCAAATCCTCATTATTTGGCCAAGAAGATTTCCACAGATTTACTGTTAATATTTCAATCTGGTGTATTTCACTTCAGCTGTCATCTTTAATGATTTTTGGCTAATCTTGTGTTAGCATGCTAACAGAATCCACCAGAAATCTGCCAAGTAAAATAGCTCCTCTGCCTGGCAAATAAATACCTAGTCCTTCGAAAGCATGGAACTTCACTTTCCTTTTTTATGAAAGACAGTGAGTGATAAGTTAAGCTATTTGTGTGAGGGAGATATTCTAGGGGTCTTGGATAGTCACTACTCAGAACTTGACACACTTTGTCTTGCATTACTATTGTTGACGGAAAAATCCATTCGGTATCTGGGAATCTGGAAAACTGTGTGCTCAGGTGTTCTCATTTTACTATATTGATAGGTAAAATATTTTGAGTAGATGATGAAAAGCCTATTTATTCCTAAAATTACTGTGTATGTTGAACTAGTTAGAGAATTAATGTGATTTTTACCTTTTTTAAGATGCATGTGGCTAAGCCCACTTACATGGTACAGCTGGGCTAGTGACTGTATACTTAAATATCTGGAATGAAAATAGGCCTGCACTGGAACATATCATTTTAATCAAATTTTATAAGAGATCAAATACCACTTGTGTGGGAATATTTAATTAATAAAGTATACAAGCAATATGTACTCTGTAGCTTGTAGCCAAAATTGAATGATCAGTTATTTTAGTTGCACTGTTATCTCTCTGTATTCTGGGAATGGATGGGTGTTCTATTTTTTGCATGATTCAGTTGATAATTAGATTCATTTACTGTCTTATTTTGAGAGGCTTTTTTCTTACTGGTTTCTATAGTTGCTAGTTTTTCTTGTTGGAAAATACAGGTCATTCTGTTCTTAGAGTTCTGCTTTAGATGGCTTTTTGTTGTTACTGTTTACTAAGCAGGAGACATTTTTTGTAACGCACAAAGCTCAGTCAGGCACCCTGCTTCCACTTATCTTTGAAAATCTCCCCTTATTTGTATTCTAGGAAAACCTGAAAGTCTCTAAAAAGGATCAGGGCTGCTAAGCATGCCATACATGATGGAAAAAGTCCCCTAACAGAGAGCTTAAAGTTAACATAACTTAAAAAACACCCCTAAAATAAAAGCATACTAATCAGCTACTCCTAATACAATAGACCCTCTGAGTTACAAACACCAGAGATATGAACTGGCCAATCACTACACATCTCATTTGGAACCAGAAGTACACAATCAAGCAGCAACATAGACAAATAAAGCAAATATAGTACAGTACTGTGTTAAAAGTAAGCTATTACAAATAAAGGGAAAAGAGTACAGGCAGTCCCTGGGTTACGTACAAGATAGGGACTGTAGGTTTGTTCTTAAGTTGAATCTGTATGTAAGTCAGAACTGGCATCCAGATTCAGCCGCTGCTGAAACTGATCAGTTTCAACAGCGGCTGAATCGAATCTGGACACCAGTTCCCACTTACATACAGATTCATCTTAAGAACCCCAGGCGTCCCCAAGTCAGCTGTTGCTGAAACTGATCAGCAGCTGATTCCAGGAAGCCCGGGGCAGAGCAACTCTGCCTGGGGCTTCCTGTGGTCAGCGCTGGTCAGTTTCAGCAGAAGCTGACTTGGGGACGCCTGGGGCAGAGCAGCTGGGGTGCTACTGGACCAACCCAGCAGCACCCCATCTGCTCTGCCCAGGCATCCTGATTCAGCCGCTGCTGAAACTGACCCGCAGCGGGTGGA